TTGCCTTTCAGACACAAGGATTCCCAAGGGCACTGAAAACTCTAGGAGCTGCTGACCAGGGCAGTGCTTCCTATCTAAAGCCAAACAGGTGCAGTTTGGCATTATGATCAATCTGTTCTTTTTTTTATGAAGTCCTGTCAATTAGTTTGCCGCAGTGATATGATTTTCCATATGCTCCATTTCCAGAAAAAAAGTAATTGGTTAGTGTTCTTTTTAGATATGCAATGAGATTTTATTATGGTAATTGGGGAACTTGTAAGCCTTGGGATGACCAATAATGAAATGTTCTGGGAGTTATAGTTAGCAATATTGGAAGATCACAGATATCCTACATTTAATTTAGGGAGCATGTAGATGTATAAAAAAATATTTTTCCATTCCAATCAAATAATGAACAAATATTTATAAATTTTGGTGACTGATTATTAATTTTAGATTTTGTTGGTATTGTTTTAGTGCTGCTTAGGAATTATAGTTCAGAGACAGAGATGGCATGCCTAGCAACCTCATGAATCCCAATGACTATGTACCATTCTTTGTGCAATCAGGAACTTCGGGGCAATCTAGTGTGCCAGATGTCAAGCGATTCTATTACATGGGATTAATTCAGTACATGTCTTCCATGTGAATGGTTTCTGGTATCTTCAGTAAGGTGATGAAATCCTAGAAAGCTGCAAGCCAGTTTTCACAGTGTCTGGAAGATGGACCCACATTGATCTGACAATTATTTCTCTAATTGCTAAAAATGTAATGTTATCTCGTGGGCATGCTAGGAGTACAATCTATCAATCATTTCTTGTTTGTGGAGTTAGCAATCCTAAAGTATGCTTCCCAACAACTTGGGATAGTCAAATACTTTATGGGTCAACACTAGAACATAACTAATGTAAAATATTGATTTTATGAAATGGCAGCAGTGAAGAATGCTTGATTTATCTGATGAACTTTTTCTAAATTCCTTAAAAGTTGTGGAAGTTTCAGCCATGGTTGATGCACTTTTCTGCTATGAATTTATTCATGTCTTTACAGTTTCCCAGGTTAGTTCCAGTTCTTAAAAATCCCATGGAAAGAGTTTCTTCATGGCATCTTCCTTTGAGATTGCTAGGGAAGTTGCAGGAACTGGAGAAAGACTTGCATAATGAACAAGAAGATATAAGCCACACATATTCTTCAGCTGTCATGTAAAAAAGATGGTGCAAGACCTCTTAGGCTCAAATCAACAGCAAGTAAAATTGTTATCCTGAGCATCATTTCTAAAGGGGGAATACAATAGTATAATACCTTTAGAACATAATTTCTTGGATGGAGCATATATTTTATGAATAAAATCTTAGGTATAACCTCTGGGATCTTGAGATATGGATGGATGAAACAATAGCTAGGACAGCTGCTATCATAAGCAATGGGATACAGATATGAGCAATATAAGGAAGCTGCCATCAGGCTGTATTTATTGGATTGGCTTCAGTGAGATTACACAAGATTAAACCAAAGTAAAATAATGTAAGCATAAGAAGAAATCTTTCTATAACAATTTGCAACCTGATAAATAATGCAGGCTTTCCTCAGGGTGCAATCTAATTATCAATCTTACCCATATTCAAGCCAAAAGGAGAAAGGGCAGGATACAAAAATTGCCAAAATAAAATAAAACATTTGTTTTGGCACAATATAGTGTCATGCTAATATCAGGTAATGCAGCTGATTTATAACTGAAAAATCCTATATGGCCTACACCGGGGGTCCCCAATCCCCGGTCCATGGACCAGTACCTGGCCGCAGCATGCCAGCAACTGGTCTGCACAAACAAGCAAAGCCCTATCCACGAGATGCAAACAGCATACAAAACCATGCATCCACTGGTCCGCAGAAAAACCTCTCCCCACGGAACCAGTCCCTTGTGCCCCATAGGTTGGGGACCTGTGGCCTACACCTAAAGTGAAATATCTGAAATTTAGTACAAACTTCCAAATCATCTTATTTTACTGCACAGCTGTCTATGTCAATGCTGCTTTCTTTTTTAACACATGATAAAAATTATCAGATAAATGTTTTATAGTTCCCTTCCCATTTTAGCCTAATATTTTTAAAAACCATCACTACCTAAGCACCGACTACATTACTCATCTTTGAAAATAAGTCATTTCCAGGTATGCTGGGAAGAACTAAGATTTAGTGATGTTAGGTAATCAATCCTTAAATCAGAAGTAAAATTCTCATGTATAGGCATTTCAAAATGTTTCATCTGCTTTGTATTACATTAACTACTATTTTTGTGTTGGGACCATTCCTAACTGGCTGCTTTTGACACGTTACTTTGGCTTGAAGTTTTTTTTCTGACAGCAAAGAGCTTCCATTAACCTTGATTCTGAGAGGTCAAACAGCAATACCAATTTATATGGTTCTTTGAGCTTTCAAAAACATTTAGCCAAAAAATGATTGATAATAATGTTGAAAGTGGCAGAAAGCTAATGGAAAATAAATGTGACAGATAAAAAAGATGATTTGAGGAACATCCCCAACATTGTTAACTTCATTTATTTTATGGCATTTTAAGTATGTGAATAATTTTATTAAATACGATTTCAACAATATGTTCTTATATCTTCATACTTGAAGATATAATTTTTATATCTTTGAATTTTTAATACTACTTTCACTGTATGACTGGCATGTCTTCAGTATTTTACTTATGTATTTCCTCTAATTAAGAGACTGTGAGTTCTAGCGTGACCTTGAACCAGTCTTTCAGTCCTAGAAAACAGGCAATGGCAAACCATTTCTGAAAAACTTTACAAAAAAACCTGCAGCGACTATTCCAGGACTTGAAAACTAGGCATATGCATACCAATTCCTATAAGGCATTTGGTTATCACTCATTTCAGTCAAAATTATTTACAGAACAAACACTACACTTAGTATCAAATTTATATAATTATTAAAGTGGTTTTTAAAATGTGCTTATAAGAGAATATCATGGCAGATTGTATTACATAAATGACATTTAAGTTACAGAAGGTGAAACTTGGCTACTAATTGGATAGTAGGTTAATATTGTAAACTATACTGGGAAGTGAAAAAAGTATTCTGAAAAGGTCAATGCCAAACTAGGTCTATTAGTCCACTTTTCACTTGTTTCATTTTTTATTTATTTTTTGTTAATAGTTTGTTGCAATGGTTAAGGTCCTGGATTAGAAACTGGCAAACTGTGAGTTCTAATCCTCACTTGATCACAGAACCTGGATGGGTGAGTCAGAGTCAGGACAGTCAGTGTCAACCAATCCATCTCCCAGGGTTGTTAATGTGGAGAAGCTATGAGGTAGAAGCATTATGTATGTTACCTTGAGTTGTAAAAAAATATAGGTGGGATATAAATCTAACAATAGCATGGACATGCTTGTGCATTCCCTCTCCATAGCTGGTTATATTTCATAACATACAATTAACAGGATATGGCTATTGTATAAAATGATACAGTTATTTCTCAAATCATCAATCATATCAGCAGCAATGTGAAGGATCAGAAGGAGCACCATCCCAAAATTCCCATGTTGCTGAAGAATCAAGAATCCTTTATGACCTATATTGGGCAATCATTATAAAAATGTATGCAATGAATAGACATTTTATATAATGATATTTCTTTGTGCTTATATTTGAAAGACAGTATTTTTGGCTGTATCACATTACTTTAATTAAACCTTTTTGCTATATTGAAAAGTGATCACCGATCCTTTAATATAAAGGCCATATCTTTATTTCAGAAAAATTGTTTGGATTCTTTAATTATTTATTTTCTTACTTTTGCTCTTGAATTTTCCTTTGTAAGGTCAAGTTATAAATATAAGTATTCTTGTTTTATCCTTATAAATCTCTTTCAGATTTTTCCAAGTTTCTCTTTATTTTTCCAAGCAAATATGGTCCCTGTACCTATGGCATAAATTTGATTATGAACTGTCTTTTCTTTTTCATAAGCAACAACTTAATAATTGCTAACAAATGCAAATAATCATTTATGTGTGTGAACATTTTCTGACATACAAAATAAAAAATTCAAAATTTAACACTAATTAAAATTAGTAGGATTTGTCTCATAAAATATTAACAAGAAGCAATGGTGGAAACTAATCAAGGAGCGAACCAACCTAGAATTAAGAAGAAATTTCCTGAAAGTTAGAACAATTAATCAAGGGAATGATTTGCCTCAAGAAGTTGTGGGTGCTCCAATACTGAAAATTTTAAAGAAGAGATTAAAGAGCCATTTGTCCAACTTCCAACTCTGTTATTCTGTTAATGTTTTAGAGTTGCCCTGTGGTAAGATGGGCAGCCAATAAAATTTAAAAATAAACAAAATACATACATATATACATATATATAATTATGAAGAAAAATCCTGCTAAAATTTTGTGAAAATTTAATTTTAAATGCATGTTAAAGTTTTTTTAAAAAAATCTGGGTTGTAGAAAAAAATAACTTTTAATGTTTTTAGTTCTTTTGTAAATCATTAGAAAACATTGATGATTGAATATATTAAAAGTAAGCAAATGAAATAAACTCTTTCTAAAGATGCTATAATTCAGTGTTTAAAATCTATGGTCAAATGAAATTGTTAACTTAAAATTTGCAAGAAAAAGCACTACCTGGTAGACACCAATTTACTTAAAATATTACTGACATTATAAAACAAGAAGTTTGGAAGAATTAAACATATATGAAGACCTTTAAAATCAGTTTTAAAAGTTCTGGTATATATCATTGCAAAAATGGTATTGCATGATGAATTTTCATGTGTGTTATAAATGGTATAGGCAGTCTTACAATAGATACATAAATATTTGAAAACAAAAAGTCAGCAGAACATCAGTTCTGTGCAATCAATGCAACTAAGCAATAAGACAAAAGTTATAAGAAAGGAAAAGTCTAGAGAGCCATGTAGGAGGACCAAAGTTGAAATGTAGAAATTTGATAACATTTCAATTTTAAGTGCAACATCATAAATATAGATAGATTCTGCTTCATGTCTTTGCAAATTGTCTTCAGAAGTAACCAGAAAAGTGAATGAGGTACCTTTTCTCAATTGAGATGTTG